GAGAGAGAGAGAGAGAGAGACAGAGAGAGACAGAGAGAGACAGAGAGAGAGAGATTGAATTGGATAAACACTGAGGAAAATCACAATCCTGAATGTATATGAGTTCAGATGGGGTTCATTCACCATTTATGTTAACATATCCTCATGGACAGACTTCCTTTTCCCTAGTGCACATTGGTATACTCAGTGCATCAGGCTCAAGTTCAGTGGATGCCCATCATGTGTGCACATGGTGAAAGCACTCCCAAATTTTCCATAGAGACATGAATAGGGGCTGTGGGACAGAAGAGATTATTATTTTGAAATTTGTTGTTGATGAACAAAGGAGGCCCCAACATACTCCCTCTCCTGCTCCCTGATTACAGTTGCAACACATGTCCACATAGACACAGATTCCGATGATGAGAATAAGGCTGAACTGTCAAAGATGAAGAAATCATATAAAATTACATCCACAAGCTTAAGTAATGGGGGCGTATATGAATGGTTTATGTATTCTGTAATAAATAGATAAAGAAAAATAATGTTCTTCATATCAATAAGATTTTATTTGTAGCTGTTATTTTGTAAAGATTTTATTAATTGATTGATGTATTTATTTATTGATTTACTTACTTATATTTAGAGAGAAAGGAAGGGAGGGTGAAAGAGAGGGAGACAAATATCAATATGTAGTTTCCTTTCAGGTACCCCCTACTATGGACATGGCCCGCAGCTCAGGCATGTGCCCTGACTGGGAATTGAACCAGCAACGTTATCATCTGAAGGCCAGTACTCAGTCCACTGTGCCACACTAGCCAGGGCATATATCTGTCATTTCATGTAGTGACTTGCATCAAGATTTTTCATAACCAAGTTTCTGTAATTTAATAACACACTCCCCAATCTCCAATTACATTTTTACCTAAACAGATCTAGTCATAACTCTTTCTTGTGTCTCCAAGGTTTGAACCTGGTTTTACCACGTTGTCTAGCTGCAGAGGTGTCCAATATTTTGGTGTATCAGGGACACACTGGAATAAGAAAAGCTGTCTTGTGCCATGCATTAAATACATTGCAACATGCAATAAAATAAACCTCATATTGTTTTAACATGTATCTATAATTTTGTGTTAGGACACATTCATAGCCATCTTGGGATAAATGTGGCCCACAGACCACAGGTTGGGCACCTCTGAAGAGAATAAAAAAAGAAATGAGGTAATGAAGCTGCTGCAGATTTTCAACCAAACTCCACTGAAGTAACATTACCTGGAAGAAATCCCTGCTTCTCTGTATATTTCACACTTCTGTCTCCCAATGATCAATACAGACACACAATCTCCTCCAACACTGGGTCCATGTGCTGTATGGTCACACTCTGTTCTTAGATTGCTGTCTCCTCAGCACAAACCCCCTGCAGTTTTCATCCTCCCTCTCATTGTGAAGGTTGATGTCTCTATCTTTAACATATTTTCTTATATGACTATTTGAGAATATTTTCTACTGGGTCTACCCACTGTCAGTGTGGTCAGGTCTGTTGCCCTTCCAAAGAGGTTATTAATATTCAAAATGTTATAGTTTTTCCCCCCAGTAGATATAACATTTTCTTTCCTGGGGATGAGCACTCCTGAGTAGCCCTTCTAAACCCACACCAACATATGCACACCTATTATAATTTATTCTCGATGTATAACAATATGCATTGATTTCCATCTGGCTCATATTCTCTCTATGAACATGACAGACCTATGTACATCAGTTGAAATGAAGGGGACAGAAAACACCCCATGCATGTGGAGCTCCTGGTTTTGTACATCAGGGTCTGTCTCTTCCACTCTGCCTGCCTCTAACAAGTCAGCCCACATTTTTAGGTTATAGCCAAAGGGCTTCAATGGTTATTCTAGAGATGCTTCCTCCAACCTCTGGTGACTCTCAAATAACCTACATCCAGGAAGGCAGTGTTTATTCCTTAATCCATTCAACAAATATTATTGAAAATCCAGGATGTGTTATTTTATATTCAAGGATTTGTTAATGCAAAGAAGGGGAGTAAAGTGTCTTTTGGATTTATAACAAATGGATCTAAAAAACTACTTGACCTAATAAGTGAGTTTGGCAAAGCAATGGGATACAAAGTAAATATTCAGAAAGCAAAGGAATTTTTGTACACCAACAATAACATAGCAGAAACAGAAACCAGGAAAAAATCCCATTTGATATAGCAACAAGAAAAATAAAGTACCTAGGAATAAACCCAACCAAGGAAGTAAAAAAACCTCTGCTCACAAAACTACACAACACCGAAGAAAGAAATTAAGGAAGATACAACCAAATGGGAGCATATACCATGTTCATGGATTTGAAGAATTAACATCATTAATATGCCCATACTACCCAAAGCAATTTACTGATTCATACAATCCCTATTAAAGTACCAATGATATGTTTCACATATATAAAACAAACACTTCAAAAATTTATATAAAACCATAAATGACCCCTAATAGCTGCAGCAGTTTTCAGAAAGAGGAACAAAGTAGGAGGGATTGCAATATGTGACATCAAACTGTATTATAAGGCCACTTTAATGAAAAAAAAATGCTGGTACTGACATAAGAACAAACACATAGACCAATGGAACAGAACATGGATGCCAGAAATAAACCCAATTATCTATGGTCAATTAGTATTTGAAAAAGGAGGCAGAAGTATAAAATGGAGTAAAAGTAGCCTCTTCAAAATGTTGTTGGGAGTTCATGGAACCACATCAAATTAAAAAGTGTCTGCATGGCTAAAGAAAACAGCATTAAAATGAAAAAAAAAAGAACCAACTATATGGAAAAACATATTTACTAATGATACCTCAGACAAGGATTTTATTTCCAAAATTTATAAAGAAGTCACCTGCTCCACTCTAGGAAGATAAGCAACCCAATAAAAAAAAATGGGCAAAACACTTGAACAGATACTTCTCCAAGAAGGACATACAAAGGAGTCAGGGACAAAGGAAAAGATGATCAGCATCTCTAGGCATCAGAGAGATGAAAAGTAAAACCACAATGAGATAAATTTTCACACCAGTGAGAATAGCCATCATAAACAAATCAACAAACAACAAGTGTTGGAGAGGATGCAGAGAAAAGGGAACCCTAGTGAACTGTTGATGGAAATGCAGACTGGTGCAGCCACTGTGGAAAACAGTATGAAATTTTCCCAGAAAATTAAATATGGAACTATCTTTTGACCCAGCAATTCTACTGCTGGGATTATATCCTAAGAGCCCTGAAAAACCTATGCAAAAGAATGTATGCACCCCAATGTTCATTACATCACAATTTACAATAGCCAAGTACTGAAAGCAACCCGAGTGCCCATCAGTAAATTAATGGATCAAAAATCAATGGTACATGTATGCCATGGAATACTACATAACAGGAATACAGAAGGAGCTCCTACCCTTTGGCACAGCATGGATGAATCTGGAGAACATTATGCTAAGTGAAGTAAACTAGGTGGTGAGGGACAAATACCATATGATTTCACCTTTAACAGGAACCTAATTGACAAAACAAACAAGCAAGAAAAATATAAATAGAGACATTAAAATTAAGAACAAGCTGACAGTCACCAGAGGGGAGGTGGGAGGAGATAATAGGGGGGAGGGTTTTCAGGAACAAACATAAAGGACACATGGACAAAACCAATGGGGTGGAAGCAGGAGAGGGAGGTGGGGGCGGCTGGGGTTAGGGGAGAAGTGGGGGCTAAATGCAGACAAGTGTACTTGAACAACAATAACATAATTAAAAAGTAAATAAACAAACAGACCTAAATCACTCAGTGCAGTGAGGAGGGCACTGGGGTGCTGGTGTGTGACCTGTCCCAGGTGTGGCATATCAGGCCTGCAGCAGGTGTCCCTTGTCTAACCAGAGGTGAGGTCTCACAGAGACCATTTTGCCTCCAAGGTGGGTAATGCAGTTATATCAGTGGTGAAAATATCTAACAGAGCTGGTGTCCTTTTATGGAGTTCACATATCAATTTGTCACTCAGTCCCAAATCTGCTTTTCAGACAGAAGTACAGAAAGGGAGGCCACATCATCCACATCCCAGCATAAGGAGGACAGAGCTGTGCTTTCCTCTCTACAGTAGTTACTGACATGACCTCAGGCAGTGCCCTGCAAGTGAGGGACCCTGTGTCTTAGGAGGGCAGCTCTCAGAAGGAGGCTGTATTAAGGGGCCTTCCAGGTAGGGGCTGCATTAGGGGGCCTGGTTCCTGGGCAGGGAACATGAGTTTGTCCCCTGTGCTCAGCATTCACTCTGCATCTCTATTGACAACTGCCATGAAGGGGCCCCACCTCAGAGTCACAAAGTCCCTGGTGTGTCACATGAAGGGCAACAGGATGTGTGAGTGTGGACAGCAGATTGGGTGACAGGCATCATCTACCTGAGAGCTGAGGACCTGGCACTGAGAGTCTGTGTTCCAGGCACTGAGGAAGGTGTATGTCCCTCACGTTCACCCCCACTGTATGGGTCTTTAGACTGAGGGTGTCCTTGCAGAGACTTGCCTGTGGATGAGAAAGGAGAGGGATTGGGGCTGCCACCACTTCAAACGTGCCAGGGGTGACTGCCATGTGGCAGACAGTGGGCCTTGTAGGATGCTGGTACAGACCAGTGTCATCAAACTGTGTAGCTCAAACCCACCACTAGGTGACACTATCACCACTGCAGTTCTCCCTCAGGACATCCCCTGAGTGGTTTTGTTGGCAACCTGCCCTCAAGAACCTTAAATATCCGATTTTGTACCCCAGTGTAGTGTGTCTATCAGTATTCATGGAGAAAGAACTGGAATATTCAGACCTGCAGAGTGCCTCTCAGTCCAGGAACAGGCATCCTTGTCCACCTGATGCCCCACCAGCATCAAAGACAGGGAGGAGGAGCCTTGCTGACAGTTCAGACATGACCACAGGGGAAAGACATGCAAATGTTGCCCCTCCCCAAGTCATGAAAACCAGCTCATCTCCTGCACCTGCAGAGCCCTGTGAGGAGCCTTCCCGTGTGAGTCCATCCCCAGTGTCCACACCATGGGGTCTGCACTCCTCTGGGCTTCCCTCCTCATCGCTGTCAAAGGTGTGTCCCTTTGCATCAGAATCAGCTGAGACTGCTCCTCAGGGGCTGTTCTCAGTCTGTTTCTCTGTTTGCAGGTGCCCTGTGCGAGGTTCAGCTGGTGGAGTCTGGGGGAGGCTTGGTGCAGCCTGGAGGGTCTCTCAGCCTGTCCTGCAAAGCCTCTGGATTCACCTTCACTGACTACAGCATGAACTGGGTCCGCCAGGCTCCAGGGAAGGGGCTGGAGTGGGTGGCAGGAGTTAGTCAACCATCTGGAAAAAATCAGTGGTATGCTCCATCAGTTCAGGGAAGATTCACCATCTCCAGAGACAACCCTACCAACACAGTCTCTCTTAAAATGACCAACCTGAAAACTGAAGACACGGCCGTGTATTACTGTACTAGAGACACAGTGAGGGGAAGTCAGGGTGAGCCCAGGCATAAACCTCCTTGAAAAAGACAAGAGGGCTGGGCTGCAGGGGATGCTCTGGACGCCAGGGGGCGCTCAGTGCACAGCGAGCACAGGGATCAACTTCAGAGCAGCTGGTGCAACAGTTTAAGGGCTTATTTCCTGCCAGGTGTGGGATTAACTCTCCGCACAGCAGTTTTCCCCTGGGAGCCCCCCTCCCTTCATACTTCTGTGCTGACCTCTCCATTATCTGAGTTACAGAGGCGTGTTGTCATCAGAGGAAAACATCTCACATGCTCCTAAGTCAGAGCGTCACATGCATCTGCTTACTCCTTCCCTAATGAATCACACAACCTGAACTACACCAGCTGAATCCAACTAGAGGCTTTATTGGGCCCAGGAGTGCAGTGACCCCACGTAGCTCAGAGTCCAAGATTGTCAGTAGAAGGACACAGGTATGCTGGACAACGGGCAGCAGAGGTGTATGAACCCAACACCAAGGACACTAACTTTCTGGTGATGGTCGCTGACTTGACTCCATGCCCATGATACCAACAACAGTGGACATCATGTGTAGGTAGTGGGTCCCCCACTATTCCTTGGTGTGGATGTCTGGGGTGTCTCCCAAACAGAGGGACTATAGAAAAGTGTGTCACTTCATTGAGGAGTCTGTTGAGAGCAGGGCAGACTTTTCAGTGAGTCAGGAATGATTGGATCATGTCAGGTAAGAAGTGGCTCAGGTTTTATTGTTCATCCCTGAGAAAAATCGAGGAGGGTCCTGCTCACAGGAGGGGTTTGTGTGGTTTCAATATCCTACCAGCAGCAAACTAGGCAGAATCCCCACTTTCACTACCACGTGTCTGCAGGAGCAGAGAGAGGGGCGAATCATAACACGTCAGCATCGCACCTCAAACACTAGAGCCTGACTGCTTTTCCTCCGAATACCTAGGAAGCATGAGTGAGAACACAGAGCTACTGACCATTATGGGTGGAAAACAAATTTAGTTCATAGAAAATGAGAATAATGGTTAGATGTAAGCAATAAGGGGGAATAATGATAACGCATATGGATGCCTTAGTTCAATTTCTAGGGTGGAACCTGTTTAGCCTGCAGGGCCTTCAGCTTGTTCTGAAGGACTTGCTTCATTTTCTGCTTCCAAAGGTGAGAAGCTTCCACAGGATAATGCACATCCTCAGTTTGGGGAGGTCTGTTGGAGTTACTTCCAACTGGGTGGGACCATGATTTGCTTCCTTTGTTGTTGCTATGGGTTGCTCTTTTTGTCACTCAAAAACTTTCATATTAAAACCCAGGGACCATGTCATCATGTTAGAAGGTGGGGCTTTGGGACAAGTGTGGGTGCTAGAGTGGAGCTCTCTTGAACAGGTTTAAGATTTTTATAACAGGGGACTGAGGAAGCACCCTTGCCCCATCCACCCACTGAGATTATAGTGAACAGCCATTACAAAAGTGTTTGTATCAGTCACCAAAAGCTGCTAGCATTTGTTCCTGGATTTTCACATCTACATCTCTGAGAAATAAATTTCTGTTGTTGCTACTTTGTTACAGCACCCAGAATGGATTAGTGTTGTAGTGTAACATGACCACAAGGGCTGCCTCCCTGCGGTTTCACTGCCATATTTTGTGAAAAGTAGAGCATGAGTGTCATTCCAGTGATGCTCAAGGGTAAGTTTTCTCAGTTGTTTTCTTCCACAGGCAAAATTTCCTGGCTGAAGGTCATGGGAGGCTCCTAAACAGATGCACCAGGAAGGCATCATTAGAAGTGGCTATACTCCATGAACAATTTTATTATTTATCAGATCAGCATGGAACAAAATCCAGGTCCCAATGGAGGTAAAGCCCATAAATACATGGTCCTCCCAGTCAATACATCACAGGGCCATGGCTGATGTGATCTTGAAGGCATCACATTAACCTTACTTAGAAGGAGCTTTGGCAAATAGGTTCAATGTTCACTTAGGTTTTATCAGTTTAACTAATCATGTCAGTTTTCAATCTTCCCAGAGACTGTGTGTAATAATGATGCATGGCATTTGGATCATAGCAGCACCTTACAGGATAATGAGTGCTGTGCTGTGTGCTCATCGGGCTTTTGATGTGACAGTCAGTAAGCCATTGGGGGAGGGTGGAGGATGAACCCAGAGGGTGACGACAGTGGTTAAAATGCTCCACACATGTTTGTTCCTCCTTCCCACTCTCTTTCTCCACAGTGATGGACTCGCAGTGCACAGATGTAGAAATTAGCAACAACAATAACTCTGCAGCACGCAGACTCACCAGTCTCTTATAAAACTCCCACTGACACAACAAGGATGCTTGTCCCTCTCAGTGGAGTCCGGAGCCTCACCTATGCACTTCATTTTTGTGTCCCTAAGGGGAGGAGCACATGGAAATGGGGTGCTCCATGTGCTGATAAACCCAGCCTGGCCACCGTTCCTGCACCTCTAAGAGGGCAGCCCCCTCCCACCAGGTCTCTGCAGTTTACAGTCCCTGCAGCAGTTAACCCAGAGGAAGCATCATGAAGGTTCAGCTGGGCATTGCTCTGACTATTTTACATGGTGACGCTATGAAGAAAGTCAGTCTTGAGTGTGTGTCCACTCCTAACAAGAGTCTGTTTTCTGCAGGTGTGTGATGTGAGGTGCAGCTGTTGGAGTCTGGGGGCACCTGAGACAGGCTTCCTGTCTCTGAAACTCTCCTGTAAAGGTTGTTGATTGTTGATTCAGTTTCAGTGACTTATATAACCTGCATCCACCAGCTTCCAGGAAACAGACTGGAGTGGGTAGGTTATATTAGAAGCAAAGTACACAGACACACAACAGAATGTGCTGCATCTGTGAAAGGCAGATTCACCATCTCAAGAGATGATTCCAAATGCACTGCCTATCTGCCAATGAACAGCCTGAGAGCTGAGTACATTGTCATGCATTCCTGTAAGAAGACATTGTGAGGGGAACTCACTGTAATCCCAGAGAAAACCTCCCCGTAGTAAGGCCTACGGTCCCCAGGGGGAGCTGAGCACCCCTGAACACAGGGACAACCACTGGATCAGTTGCAGGAGGAGGTTTTGACTGGTTTCCTGTTTGGTTTCTTTTTCCTGTTACAGTTTCCTTCAGATAATCTCTCTGGATTCTCTGTTCATTCTCATTTAGAAATATCTGTTGCAAAGCCAGACAGCCTTCCCTCATGAACAAAAGATAGTCTTTCCCATAACACTTGTGACCAACTGCAATGAATAGTCAACAATTCTGACCTCCTTTAGCTTAGTTTAACCAGAAACTCTGATGGACACAATAGTGTGGAATGGTCTCACACCGCTCACTGTCCAAGCCGGCCAGCAACAGGACACGGGCGTGCTGGACAGGGGTCACCAGAGGTGTATGACCCCAATGACAGGGAACAAAGATGTCTGATGGTGACAGCCATTGAGTTGGCATCATGCTCACAGAACCAGGCATAGGTGACACCACACAGAGGCAGAGGGACCAACCAAGCTTGGTGTGGATGCCCAGGCTGATGACAAACACTCATCAAAGGGACATGGAATGTGTATCACATACATATTTGACATCTGTGAGAACAACAATGAAAACCCCTCAGCAAAGTAAATGTGATTTGATAGAGTCAGGAAAAGAGATAGGCTCAGGGAATTTATTTTCTTTGGCGGGGGGCAGGAAAATCAGCCTACAGCGACTCCTGTGTTTTCAGTTTCCCAGTGGTATGTAAAAAGGAGACCCAGACTCTCCCATCATATTTCCTGTGTGGGGCATATGGAGAAGAGTCAGAAATGAGACCTATTTGACAGCAGTGAAACATAAAATGATATGATGTCTGGCTACCTATTTCACTTAGCAAACATAAAAAAAAATGAGCAAAATGAGATAAAGGTCATCAGGTGTAAAAAAAAACATACCTACAAACAATGAAAATGATGATTATAGGAAAGCAATTGATGTTGATGATGATGATGATGATGGTGATGTTTATGCTGAAGTTTATGATGGTTATTTTGATGATGATGGTGATGGAGATAATGTTCATGGTGATGATGATGATGATGATGATCCTGCAGCCAGGGGTTTCCTCTCCTTCCTACATGTGTTGAGAGGTTTTATAAATGGAGCCCGCAGGATCATGAAGCTTGTGTGAGTCATGATGTTACCAGATGAGTAATGTTCTGAGAGCTGTCCAACTCCTCATTCCCTGGCCCTGTGACATTGTGACCACATACAACAGAGACACTGTGAAATGTGAATGTGGGTAACAAGGAAGTCCCTTTCAAGTCATATGCAATGGCATGTTCCTTGTTTCTATTGATCTCTAACTAACTTCAGAACCCTTAACATTTATATTTCTAACAATCTCACCTTTTCTAAGATGATATAATCTCTTGCTTCCATGCCCTGGTGTTCCTTTTTAATGAAAATCTTCACTAAGAAGACTTTATACCCACATATCTAGTAAAATGTGTTCATGAAAATAAGGCTTATTTCTGACTTCCAACCTAGATGGAGATATAGGTATATACACGGTTTATCCTCACAGAACAAAAAGAAGGACAACAACAATTTTAAAACAAACAAACAAACAAACAAGAACTGCCAGAAAATTGAACTGTATGGAAGTCCAACAACCAAGGACTTAAAGAGGAAACATTCATCCAGTCCGGTGGAAGGGCAGAGACAGGCAGCTGGGGTGGAGAGGACCTTAGGTAAGGCAGTGCCTGGAGGACCAGGGCAGGCAAAACAGTGGCTCATACCACCGGGCAAAGTGGCCACTGGTGGAGTGAGCAGTCCCACATTTGGTGCAGATAAACCAAGAAGAACAACTGGGGAGTGAGACAACCCAAACCACCCATGGTTCTAGCATGCAGAAATAAACCCTCAAAACCTGACTGAAAAAACCTGTGAGGGTCCCGGTAGAGGAAGAAGCTACCAGCCTCACAGGAGAGTTTGTCTGAGAGACCTACAGGGGCCTAGAATGTACA